CAATCTTCCCCTTTGGTAAATTTTAGCTAAAACAAATAACATAACTTACAATCCATATTACAACAATAAAAAATACATCCATCAGCAGTAGTCTTTAGAAACTACTGAACGCAACAACATAGCAACATAGAGGGACGTATCTTCACAAGCTCAATGATGTTAGGACATCATGTTCAACATCTTCTTCATAATAACTCCATTGTAACATAAAAACTCAACACCAAAGAACAACAACCTCAAGATAGGAGAATAGAAAGTCCGAAAGTTATTTGGTGCACATGAGGAAGAAGATAGTCTACACTCCCCTTAACCCCGGAACCTATTCTTGTCACAAATGAATAAGTCTTCCTTTCAAATGGTGGCATAAGAGAACCATGAAGCGACCACCAGTCAACCTGTGGCATAAGAGGAAACTTAAGAAGTATCTAAACACCGCCTTGGGTAACTCAGAACACATGTCACAACTGTGTTCATAACTCATATCACAAGTCACAAAGCAAACCCAAACATACATAGGATAAAACATCATGTTCGACATATTCGTACAACATTTGGAAATACAAACTCCAGACTGAACATCTGAGTAAATCCTTTCTCCCCTTTTCTAGAGAAAAATTAGAAAATAAGGCCTTCACAAAACCAGATCCAAACTAAGCTCACCCAAACCCGAACAAAATCCATAAGAATTATGAAAACACCAAACACTTCATTGATTCTTGATTGATTCTTATAGAAAGAGTTATTTCCAATAAAGGTGCATGCATAGTCAACAAACATGCTTTACACTCCCTCATGACGTGTAAAGATTACACCGTCCAAAATAATTTTCTTGTTGGGCTCAAGGAAAAATATGTCCTTCATAACATCCAAGACATCAGAACATCACATGTGTGACATTTCCCATCAAATAAAAATCTCCATGGAGTCCTTCCAAAAACTGCAGAGAAAAATAAGTTCTCCCGGACACAAACAAGATTGCCCTCCAGAATCCTCCTAAGAAGCATGTGAGAACATGATTCAACAACTAGCTCGACATAGCTAGAACCATACCTATGCAGCAGCCAAGGCCGACCCTGGGCCAGTGCAAGCAGGCCCACAACCCAAGGCCTCAAAAGAAATGGGGCCTTAAAATTTGAGTTTATGGTCTTGTAAATTTCCACAACCTAGGGCAAGCAGCAACAACACCATATCCAGCCCCTACCGAGCCATAAAGATTTCCAGAAAAGTTACCATAACCAGGATGTGGAATATGGGTAGGATGGAGTCCAGGATTGTACCCATAGCCTTCATCAGGTTTTTTTCCATCTTGAGGCTTGGCAATAACAACTTCAAGAGCTTGACCTGCAGTTCAAATTCATTAAATATATTTAGTAAATACCGCAATAGACTTAAAATATTATTCATGCATAGATAAGTTGGCTTCACTATATTGTTATTTATCATATTCAATTTCATTCAAATAAAAACATCAAATGATAGACCAAATACACCATCATTGAAAGAAGTACCATAAATTTCATATTTCTCTGTCTCTTTTACCACTTTCGATGCACTTGACCTCTCTGCATAATGAATGAAACCAAAATCATGTTTCCCTCCAGCTTTTCCAGGTGGCATGACCACTTTCGTTACTTCCCCATGACGCTGAAATAACTCCTTTAGTTGATCATTAGTAACATTCTTAGGTATGTTTTTCACATATAGAGCTTTAACCTGAAAATATAGAAAACAAAGAAGTTCAAAAGCAAAACTTTAAATAGCTAGATATTTTCTCATTCAGACAAACCCTTAAATACATGTAATATGAACACCTAATTTATATTCATATTGTAAGATGCTTTCATGTTTCAAGCGCAAAAACTACATACCCTACCTGCATACACAAAAGTACTTGTTATTAATAAACTACATGCCCGCATACATAAAATGTATATGTCATTAAGATATTGTTCAAATCAAATTAATGAATTAATGCATACCGTGTACACACTTATCATATAAATAAATTAAACATAATCAAATGTGGCAAGACTTCAAACACAAAGAAACATATGTTTGAATGCTTCCAAACACAAAATAACTCATACAGATAGTAGATTATATTCATATGCATCAGCCTGCAATTATAAATACCATTAAGTATCTCAAACACCGTTCATGTGCGGAATCGTATCTACATATCCCAAACAACGGAGCAACAAAAACCATCTGCGAAATCAGGAAATAATAGATACTACCTTAACAAAAACACATTGAAAAGTTATGAAAGAGCAACCTCAAGAGAAAAAGAAAAAAAAACTCTCAAATTGTATAAACACCCCACCCCTGATATGCACAAAAATGGACTTACAAGTACTAAAATTCTAGATTTCTTATGTAGTTAATAATTATATAAGTTATTAACATATGTCATATTTTGACAGGAAAGAAATAAGTTCCTTATTCCATATATAAAAATGTAGTAAGTAAAATTAGACTAAACAAAATATGAATTGTCACTATTGAATATAATATACCATAAACTCTTAAACAACAACATGATCCAATAATCTTTTCTTGCAACTTGACACAGGAAAATGGTACAAAAATATCATCACATACCAAATTGAGGTTTTGATTTCCTTTAAAAAGCTTTAAACTCCACAACTTTATGCTCTTGAATCTTGTCCTTTAACAACTCTTCCCAATAATGTGTTATTTCTGAACCGTTCACTGTTTCCATTGCTCTTTTTTGGGCTGCCTCCTCTGCTGCAGCTTCTGCTGTAGCCTCAGCCTCATCAACATACTCAAATTGCAACCTATATCATATAAACCACTAAGTCAATAAAACAAACATTAAAAAAAGAAGCAGACCATGATATAAGCACAATAAAGTTAAATCACCGAGCAGCTCACCATTCAAAAACACATATCTAGATCAAACCAACAAACAAACCATAGATCTGTGTCTTCTTCTTTGCTTGAAATCAATACCACAGCTCATAAGCATATTTGCATCTTCATCTAGACTTGAAATCAAAACACAATCCATAATCAAATCTACATGAAAGAAGGAATACCAATAATATCTTACCATTATACACAAAAAACTATCACCATAATCAGATCAACAAGAAGAAAGAAGTATGTGAGATAGAGAGAGAGAGAGAGAGAGAGAGAGAGAGAGAGAGAGAGAGAGAGAGAGAGAGAGGAGAGAGAGAGAGAGAGAGAGAGAGAAGAGAGAGAGAGAGAGAGAGAGAGAGAGAGAGAGAGAGAGAGAGAGAGAGAGAGAGAGAGAGAGAGAGAGAGAGAGAGAGAGAGAGAGAGAGAGAGAGAGAGAGAGAGAGAGAGAGAGAGAGAGAGAGAAGGAAGAAGTATGAGAGAAAGAGAGAAAAGCATGAGAGAGAAAGAGAAAGGGGTAGGAAAGAGATAGAGGCGCCTGTTTGTTTAGCAACATTGGATAAATAAAAAAGTTTTTATTTGATTCCATATGAAGTAGAATGTGGAAACTCAAGGGCAATTGATTTAAGAAAAACAATAAATTAAACCAATGTTTTAAAACTCAGACCGATGATCGACTCGGTAAAGTTATTGGGTCACTGGGTTACTGGTCGAACCAGTGAGTCACTGGTCAGACCACATGGCTTTTGACCCGGTTTCTATAAAAAATATATTCATTACCTGAAATTTGTAACTATAATAATATAGAAAATTATAAATTCAAATAATTTAGAATAAACAAAAGTATTAGTAACAATCAAAATAAGTGATAGAAACTTAATGTAGCAAATTATAAATTCAAAGAAGTGATAGAAACTTAACAATTCATAAGTTATAGTATTATAATAAGTCACAAAAATCCATACTCAACGATCCATAATTTTTTATGTCCATGAAGTCAAATTGCCATAATCTTGATATTCATATCCATCTTCAACTTCATTGTCTCTCCACCAACTTCATCTTCTCTGGTGTTTCTTTTTTCTTGATTCACAGTATCAACAATAGTATCTTGTGCATTACCCATATCTCTATCTTCATACTCATCTAAATCTATTTGATCAACAAAATGAAACAATAATATTCATATTGAAAAACATCAATGCAAATTAGACCAAGTAAAAAAGAAATAACCTGTTTTTGATGTTTTGATGAAATTTTTGACGACAAACAAGGAATATCAAATAACAGCAGCAAGTGAGAGTTTTTGTTGGTAGAGAAAATTGAGAATATGACTTCAATTAGAAAAAGAAAAGACAGAATAAAAAAGAAAACCTTTCAAAATGCCTAGGTTTGAGAAACGAGAAGGCAAAACGTTTATGTTAATTTTTTTTCAAAAGCCCTAAAAAATAAAATAAATAGTCAAACCTGCCGGTTCAGTAAAAACTGCCGATTCATTGGTTTAACCGGTGATCCAACCGGTTCACACCGATTTCATCCGGTCTAAATGTAATTCCGGTCTTATCCCTTAATCGGACCGCCTGACCCCACCTGTTCTCGGTCAGACCGGCCGGGTCGGGCTGAATTTTAAAACACTGAATTGAACAAAGTAGTAGTTATAATTAGACCAAATCAAAATTTTATTAAAAAAAACAATTTTAGACATCAATTAACCTCTAAAACAAAATTTGTTGTGTTTTTAGCAAAGGGCAAAATTGTATTTTCCAAATGCATTTATCTTCTTGTATTATAGATAAATTATTTAAAAAATGGAAAGAAAAATAGAAAGCAGACAAGATTGCTTACGAGTGAAGAACCAAAAAATACGTCACCTAAACACAGACCCAAAACGGCGCCGTTTTCTTGTCCACTTCGTGTTTTCACCAATTCCTACGCAGTCGCTTCCATTCCAACCCAATCCAAATATTTTATCTCTTTCCATCACCAACAAACAAACCACCATTTCTCTCAAAAGTCTTCTCCTAGATGCCGTTTTCCATTCTCCACCTCTAATCGCACCTCCCAAAATTTAAACACCCCCTCTCTAATCGGTTTTTTTATTTCCGGTTTGGTTTTTTGTGATGGATCGGGCTGCGATGACGGTTGGACCGGGTATGGATATGCCGATCATGCACGACAGCGACCGTTACGATCTAGTCCGTGATATCGGGTCCGGAAATTTCGGTGTTGCTAGGTTGATGCAAGATAAGCAGACTAAGGAGCTTGTTGCCGTCAAGTATATCGAACGTGGTGATAAGGTTTTGGATTTTTTTTAATCAATTTTTTTTTTTTATTATTCTAATTTTTAATTTTTGTTTTTTTGTTGTTGTTGTTCTATTTGTTGCCTCTTGTTTTGGAAATTTTTATCTTTTTCACGTTTTTTTTTATTTTATCACATGATCATCGTTTTTGCTTTAATTGTTTGTTCGGTGAGTTTTAATTTGCTACTTACGTGACGTGGAATGCTATTTTTATCATGTTTTGTGTTTCCATTTTTGTTTTGAGTACTACCTGATTTTGAATTACTATTTTTTTTCATTTTTATTGTAAAATTTTTTCTTTTTCTTTTTATAGATGAGATATGTTTATGAGGGTTAATGCAATTTTTGTTGATTTTTTAATAATTTTATGTTTTATTTGATGAATTATGTTTATTTTCCTATCATGTTATTGTGTGGGACAGATAGATGAAAATGTGAAGAGAGAAATCATTAATCACAGGTCTTTGAGACACCCTAACATTGTTAGGTTTAAGGAGGTTAGTATATTTTTATGTTTCTATAGGAAGAAGGGTAATCAGATTTATGTGTAATGATGCTGTGTAAAATTTCAATCAGGTTATTTTAACTCCTACTCATCTTGCTATTGTAATGGAGTATGCATCTGGAGGAGAACTATTCGAGCGAATCAGTAATGCTGGGCATTTTTCTGAGGATGAGGTTTTTGTTTAATTTTCTTACTTTCTCGGTTCTTGTTTATTCGTAGAGAACATGAATTTGTACTTCTAATATGTTCTCTGTATAACATGGTAATCTATTCACATGATGCAGGCTCGGTTCTTCTTTCAACAACTCATATCTGGGGTCAGCTACTGCCATGCAATGGTAATTGAACTTTTTCTATTTTCTGTTGTCTGATCTAAATCATGTTTACCCTACACTGCGATTTAGTATAGGTAACGAGTCGATTTTCTCAACGTTATGCCTGATGCATCGGTCTTGTGTTTGATGTGTCTCTTCATGAAGCAAGTATGTCACCGGGACCTGAAGTTGGAAAATACTTTGTTGGATGGAAGCCCGACTCCTCGTCTGAAGATATGTGATTTTGGTTACTCCAAGGTAGGCATATGTTTATCTCACTAGTACTTCATGGTGTGAGTTCTGTGCTTATAAATTTTACTGGGATATTTTGGTTGAGTAATGCTTACCTCCAACTACTTCCTGCATCTAAGTGTCTTTTTTTAGCTTTTTTGTCGCTTTTGTTCTTCCGATCTGGACTGTGAAAATCATTGTATTCAGTAGCTCCTTAAGTTACTATATTATAAGTTCAGCAGTTTCTGCTTCATGTTGCATTCTTGTGTGTTAGAGTTTAGCTTGTCAAAAGCTGTAAGCATGTAAGGTGTTCACATATGATATAGCTTTCACTAAAAAAACTAATGATCCATTTATTACTAAGTGATGAACGGGGTGATAATACACATCCACGTGAGAGGATGCAAAAGAACTTCTGATGAACACTTGGATGATTGTTTGCTTCAGCTTAGTTTTGTGGAAATAATTGCTTGTCTTTTTTAAAAGCCCTTTTTAGGAAGCCGGGAAAATATATTTCCCCAAAATAATCAAATCTAAACACCTATGATTTGAATTTTACCGTCATCCTTTTAATTATTTTTTTTCAATTTCCTTCTCTTGAAACTGTTAGTTATATCTTGCAATCTGATTATTGGTGTTATTTTCAGTCTTCAGTGCTTCATTCACAACCAAAGTCAACTGTGGGAACTCCTGCATATATTGCTCCAGAAGTGTTACTGAGACAAGAGTATGATGGAAAGGTAGAGTGTTTAATTTCTTGCTATTATTCCTTTTGTGTAGAACTATTACCGCCTCATTTGATTAAATGAAGAATTATGCTGTCAGATCTTGATTGTTTTCTTTTTAAGAAACTAAAACCATGAAATTTTGTAGCCAATCTGTTTTCACCTAATCCAATGGTCATTTTGGTCTCCAGTCCAGATCAAAACCATTTCTCTTTTCTGGTTATCATCTCCATTTTATTCAGATCTTGTTGACATTAGTTAAAAAATCTTTATTTTGTTGGCTGTTTAGAACTGTGTCTTTTTGATCCATGTAGCCGAACTCACTTAGTGGGATATGACTTGGTGGTTGTTGTTTACAGTATTGTTTTATTATTATTTTTTAATTAATATCAATCAAGGGAAGGGAGGTATGTTACATCCTAACCATTTTGTGCTTGAAAAATTGTTAAAGGTTCTTATTTTAGTAGTTGTATCTTTTTGGCAGATCAAGAAAGAATTATATGTTCTAAGTATAATTATAAATAAAATGTTATGTTATCTTGCATTTAATATCAGATTGCAGATGTTTGGTCTTGTGGAGTAACCTTATACGTGATGCTAGTGGGATCATATCCCTTTGAAGATCCTAACGAGCCAAAGGATTTCCGGAAGACAATACAGGTACGTCGGATCTTAAGATATTCGTTCATTTTCTTCATGAGTAGTGTCTGATCGATAGAGCACTTGTGGTTGCTTCTTTGCAGAGAGTACTCAGTGTCCAGTATTCCATTCCAGACGCTGTTCAAATATCCCCAGAGTGTCGCCACCTTATCTCAAGGATCTTTGTTTTTGACCCTGCAGAGGTGATTTATTGGGCCAAAGCCCTATTGACTGCACTTTATGATTTAAGTTCTACTCTCGCTAGTCAAAATCTTTTGCGTGTATCTTATGCCTTTGGACGTTTCCTTGACAGAGAATTACCATGCCTGAAATCTGGACACATAAATGGTTTCTGACGAATCTTCCCATGGACCTGATGGATGAGAAGATAATGGGTAACCAATTTGAAGAGCCCGAACAACCTATGCAGAGCATTGATACAATCATGCAGATAATTTCAGAAGCTACTATACCAGCAGCTGGAACCTGTTCTTTAGACCAGTTTATGGCAGATAACATTGATATGGACGATGAATTTGATGATTTGGAATATGAATCTGAGCTTGATATAGATAGCAGTGGAGAGATAGTGTATGCCATTTACTAGTATTGGACTATGGCATTTTTAGCCTCAAGGGAAGAGAAATATGTGGTGCCTGCTTTTTCTGTAGATTATTAGTATTAGTATATGTATAATACAAAGAAGTACATGTTAATTTTTATGTGCGCGTGCTTCATGGAGGTTCTTACGTCCACATCAATTAAGAAGTGGGGTTGGGGTGTTTTCGTACATGCTAAAAAGATTACTCATTAAGGGAAGATATTATTGTTGTCCTTTACTCACTTTTCGTGGTGAATACTTGCTTAATATATTATATTTACAATAGCATTTTAGTTGCTTCCTGGCCAGTTTGGCTTTAGGTGAATCATGTTTCATGTCCATTCTTATATTATTTGCAGTATGCACCTACTCCTTGTAAACATTTTACACTTCGTTCGAGTATGCGTGGTGTAACCGGTGATTCGATGTTTTGCTTGCTACATATAGTTAATGGTTGCACCAACTCTAATCCATATAGTTATTTGTGTAAACTTCAAATAAGTTTGCACACTACCCTGAATACAATAGACACACTTCCCTGAGTACAATAGACACTACCCTGCCGGAGTACAATCAATACATTCTGTTTGCTTTATGGGTACAGGATAACTTTAGGTTGTGATATGTAAATTGATGTGAATGAATCTACTTAGTTGTCGGACTGGGTATTTATAGACGTGGCTGTTTTATAGAGAAGCCGGCTGACCCATAGGTCTCGTTAGACTTACTTAACAATGTGGCTTAGCACGTCAACCCTCCTCCCTCCTCCTTAGATTTACTTAACAATGTGGCTTGGCACGTCATCCCTCCTCCTTGATATATGACACTGAAGGGGGTGGGGCGAACTGTGGTAGTGGGGAGAGCTTCACCACATTTCTGACACATGACCTTGCCCTTTCTATTTTTTTATATATATATATATTCCTCGTGTTGTTTACGAGTTAGAGAATTAGCGGGCCGATGACTTTGTCCTCCAATGAGTTTGTTTGGTGATCTCATAATTAATCTCGACCACAGATATTCTAGACCATAGTCTTTCAAGCATAAAAGTTGTATGAACGAAGTGGTTAAAGAAATATATTCCAGTCTGTAGTCCCTTAAACACAAAGGCTTATAAGCATAAAACTTGTATGAACGAAGTGGTTAAAGAAATATATTCCAGTCTGTAGTCCCTTAAACACAAAGGCTTATAAGGGTGAAATGGTTAAGAAGATAAATTCTACTCCATAATCTCTCAAGTACAAGGCCTGAATGGGAGAAGTGGCTAAGGAATGAGACGTGTTCGAGGGCATCATTGAGTGACCTTTTAATTGGTGTGTGTATTTGAGTTTGGATTTTAATTATAGCGTTGTAAAGGGCATTGTCGGTGATCTAGTATAGGTTAACTATTAATCTTCGGGATTAAAGGTGAAATTAATTCAATGGAATGATTAAAGTTGTCTTGGAAATAACCAACTAATTTGAAACCTTCGTTTGTTCACATGCATGCGATCAGGACCCTCGATGCTCTTTTACAAAAATGATGACTATGACCTTATTGACGACTATTCGATTTAGGGAGATCAGTTTTCTTCTATAAATACACGACCCTTGCTATTTGATTTTTTATTGCTTATTCAATCTTCTTTGTTCTTTCTTTAGCAATCATACTTTTTTAGTTCGTGAATTCAACATTTCCTCAAGTAAATCTTCATCACATGTATTTAGTTTTGCTTCTCTTGTATCTTTTTCTTTTTAATGACTAGGCAACGATGTTCATTAGGGAGTGAGACACAGATGGAGATTTAATAGGACCTAAAATATGTTAGGAGAGATATAGGATGTAGAATCATTTTTTAGAAAATTTGAGGTGACATCATGGAGAGTTTGATTGGAAGCTTGTTAGACTTGAGAAATTTAGGGGTTACGACGGTAGGTATAATAGCCATGTTTGTGATGAGAGAAGTGACATTGTTTTGCCCTCTTCTTATCTAGAACAAGCAGATTCATGAATGTCAGCCTTAACCACCGACGCAAATCGCTTAAGTGGTGAAGTCGAGAGCATTAACTCGATTTTCAGTAGCGAGGTTAAGGTGCCTTTGTTCTGTAGGGGCTTTTACATATCCACCACTAGAGGAGATGAAAATGACGTTTTCCTAGAGCCCTAGGCCGAGAAGGCTTGTTTGAGGATTCCGCAGGGGAAAACAAGAAATGAATATTCTTACATGTATACATGAGTCACCACCGACAGGAGAGTATGAATTCTATTTACTAATTTGAGGCCGACGTCTTGAAGGTTGTCACTAGTCGCCCTTTCTCTCCTTCATCCGAACAATTAAGCGTTTATTATGGGATTTTTTATGGCACATTAGGCACTTTATTTTATGGTACAAAGGCGCCAACAAGGTAGCTTGATCTCATTAAATACCCACACCAACACGGGGTTACATACTTTTTACTCACCAAACTACAAAAACTGAAGAAAAAAATGTTTCAGGAGTACGTGGAATCACATATTGCACAATGGTTATATTTGAGGATACAAGTGAATACCAATTTCCTTTGTATTAGGTGAGTGAGTCTGTACTCATGAATGATATTGACTATGGTAATTTTGCTGATATTTCTAGTAAATCAAATCACAAGTTTTAATTCACTTAATGGATTAAACTCGAAAAAAAACCTAAGGACAATTTTTATAGAAAAGTATCACGAAAAATATTTGTGCTTGAAACTTGGATGTTTGAATGTCAAAAGACTTGACATAAACTCTAATGGAAATGATTCATAATTTATTTGGAAGAAGAAAGTAAACAAAAATCATAATAAATGTCATTAAAGTAAATGCTTCGAATTTAAAGAATGAAAAGAAAGAACGCATACTTCTACATCTTCTCAAAAACCGTTTCTCTCAGTGACTTGGATACTTTATTCTATAGAGAATAAGTGAATTTTGCGACCTTGATTACATGAATGAACTTGATTTATGTATTAATCTTAAGTAACTGTTACTTTTTAGGCGTTCAACACATGTCCACTACGCGGGCTTCCACCCTCTCATGCGCTTCCACGTGTTTTAGGTCTTTGAAACTGCTTCTAACTACTGCCCCCCTTTGAAAATTGTCTTCACAATCTTTAACTATTTCAGTAGAGAAATTCTCCAGTCGACCCTGTAGTGGTGTCAAAGTTGCTTTGGCTTACCTAATCCTTGAACTAAAAAAATACATTAAGTCCCATAACATGCTAGGTAAGTCGAACTCACCTCCTTTATATTACACTTCCTAGTTGAAATGCTTCCCGCTGTAGATTCTTTGAGACTCTAAATATTTTTTTAAAGAGAGAGTGATTCTAATATTATGGATATGTTCCAAAGACTCCTCCAAACCAGACTTAGTGGGATTTTTTATTATCTATTCTCTGAACTCCACATGCACTAAGTTCTAGTCCATCTTGATAAGTAAGTTGAACCATCCTAGTCAGTATGATTAGTATGTCGAACTATAATTGAGTTTTTACACTTAGCATTCATATACGTGGTTATCACCAATTTCCCGTCGAATTCCTCAACTGGAATTCCTAGGCTAACAAGTAGGCTTATTGAAACAGAGAAGGAGGGCATTTATTTTCTCGGGAAGTTTCACCACATCTTAAATGTAAGAGATTTAATAGAGTACGGGGGTTGGGATAAGATGCCTGACATATATTTATGTAAGTGTGTTTAACACGTTTATTTTGACTTTACTTGTATACTATTTTTTCTAAGTTCTCGATTCCTCAGCCGAAAGGTTGTCTCCTTTGTTAGTGTTAGAGAGGAAAGACAAATTAGAGAAGATAAAGGCTCATAGGGGAAATACGGGGGCCATAACATCAAAAAATTACATGTCTGGCTTGTTAACTCGACAAAAGTAAAATCTTTAACAATGCCAGAGTCATCAAGGCGACCCCAATTTTGACTGTGAAGCCAACCACTCTTGGCGAGCTTAGATCTTTTCCTAGGATAAAAAAGTAGAAGAATGTAAAGGAAAGATCCCATATTGACTTAGAGGATAGCGCCTCAATTAAATTCGAGAACAAGAGGTCTCCTAACAACGTTGTGGCCATTTTTTATTAAAGATATTCTTTTTTAGTCTCTTTAGAAAGTGAGGAGGCACACTCTCTTTGGGCTAAGGATTTTGGTGGTGTTGGTTTCTTATACGACCATCTCATCCTCTTGAGCGATATACAAAAGGGGAGGATGATAGGTGTGAAGGGAGTTTTTAATATGGCTGAGACTTATTATCTGAGGGGTGCTATACTAGAGAGACAAATGTTTGAATAATATGACCATGTCGAGAAGGAGACATCGGTGTTGAAGACTGGCTTTGGTAATATGAAGAAGAATTTTGACCAAAAAAAATTCTTTTGGACTCTACTAACAAGAAACTTTTCTTTTTGGAAAAAGGATCACAGAGACGCTAAACACTCTCTAGAAAAATTGGAGCTAGAGTAGAGGGAGAAAGAGAAAATCTACCAAAAACGAGGGGAAAAGTTGGAATAAGCGAGAAGCGAGATATTAGCTTTAACTAAGATGGTTAAGGATGATGCTATTTCAAAATTGTAGTTACAAGCCAACTTGGATGCTTCTCGCACGAATAGTTTTCTTTCCTCCAATAAAGCATTTGAGAGAGCAAAAGAGAAGGTACACTGCTTGTATCCTGATTATGAACAAATTTATTTGTTCACAGGTGTGCATGATGAGAAGATGGTGGAAGAGGAAAGTAAACCTCCCTCATAGGAAAAGGAAGCAACCATCCCGAACCAAAAGGTCGTGCAGGACATTAATGATGAAGTTGTCTCTATTCCTGGTGAGGGTGAACCTACCATGCTAGGAAATTAAAATTTGTCTTGTGTAATTTTTTGTAACTTTAATGATTATATAACATTTACTTTTCAAGGCCCTTATAATTAATAAATCTTATAATTTTAGTGAATTATAACCTTGAATATGATGATTCCCCTTAAGGTGTCACAATTTAATGGATCTTTCT